TCGCGCTCAAACACAGCAGGCGCGGCCCACGAAGGATTTCGAGGGTGTCATTTTTCGGGGCCGGCGGTCATCTCTCTTCAAAGTAGTACAATGCCGTCACCAATAACATCCGCAGGACGAAAAGCTCGGCCGGTACATTTCACCGCTATGTGGGGATGTGGCGTGACGGATAGCAAAATTAAACGCCCTATCACCAAAAGTCAAAACCATGCACTTGGTCTATATATTCCGCACCACACGGACAATCCATCTCGCTCTCAAACCTCCGACACCATCCCCGTCGCCCTTCACCTGAAAGATGGGCCTTTGGTACTGCATGTGCGACGGCTCTAGGGCTTGCACGTTTCTGCGGACCACCACCGTTCGAGACACGCGACGCCAAAAAGGGACGCACGCCCAACCAAGGTACCCACCCACCCATCAACCACCGAAACAGGGCGGGGGGGCAAGAGCGTACGCGAGGAGAGAGCCGGGGGGGGGGGGGGGGGGGGGGGGGGACGCGGNGGGGGGGGGGGGGGGGGGGGGGGGGGGGGGGGGGGGGGGGGGGGGCTGAGAATCAGTCGCTGTTGTACAAATTTGCGTATTCAAATTGACCCTCCTTGCATCCCCCTTGAGGAAACAACCCCCTCCTCCTCCAGGTAGGAAAGGGGCGTCATCCTATTTCATGAGGGAGGCATGTGGAGTGTGTACGAGAGCAGCAGCAGCAACAACAAGTTGTCATTTTTTCAACATTACGCACCATGCTTCTGTGCATCACAAGAGCATCTCTCGATAAGAAGCTGATTTATTTCTTTGCTGTGGCGGACAAACGGAATGAGAAACAAGTGAGAGTTCTCACCTGCCCTCTCCATCCACACGGGGGGCCGCAGCTCGGATCTTCTCGAACGTCGTCGGCACACGAGACAGGACCTTCAGCGAGTGTTATAATTTTTTTCGATTGTGCGGCCCCCCCCCGCCGTGTTATGACCAAAATGAAGGAGATGGTATGGATAATAACGCGGTTGAGGAACAGAGGGCCACGTGGTCAGGGGTGTAGGCACGACAGGAAAGCTCCTCGCAGGCAGGGTGGGTGGGGCTGTGGTGGAGGCAACAACAAAGAAGAAAAAAACACAAAAAGTCACGAAGGTAGTACATAAACATCCAAGATATACCGGCACTATCAACTCCAAAGCATTGGCATGTGACGCTGAGATGCTGCAGTTCGTCCACAAGTGATGGTACCGAAAATGTTCCGGGACACCCACTATTTGACAATTTTGATCCGACAAAAGAAAAAAAAACACCTGCGGCGCCTGGATGCACACATGTCCTATCATACTGTCTTTCACGGACAGGAAGCACTACAAAAAAAAAGCGTTTGAGGCTCCAAAGAAAAAAAATGATGGTGCTGCTTTTTGGCAATCACACCTCGAACTTTTCCGGGAATTTTTCCCGGAGGTGGTCTGCTGCGGCGAAAGCGTCGAGGAAATTCGTCTGGCCACCCTTTGCTCCTTCGTCGAACTCCAGGCAGTGGAGAAACTGCGCGGAAAGGAAAGGGCGGCAGGATGGGGGGGGTGCGGGCTCATGCGGCGTTTGACCCTACATCCCTTTTTGAGATGGTGCTGTTTCGTGGTTCGCTTCCACGTTTGCCGCAGATTTCGCAAACAACATACTTCACGCGTTGTTTTGCGGAGGCGGGAGAAAGGGGGGGGGGTACTGAATGGTGGAGAATGACGACAGTGAGGGTCAGGGGAAACGGTACGGACAACGAGGAGGAGAGCGCCGCGTCAGATCCTACAGGCTTCACACCGTTGGCAGCCATTCCCAAGTCGGTTGTTTCTTTCAATTTTTGTAACGGCTTTGTGCGACCTCCTGGCTACCTCTTTCACCGCCGCCGTCTCTACCGTAGGTTGCATGATGTAAGGTACCACACCTCCTGGACCGATGCTCAAAACTTGACTACTCGACACAGCGAAACGGCGACGGTGCCGAAAAAGTGGCAGCGTTGTTGGAACCGTCCGTCTCGTACAGAGGTTTTCCGAAGATGCATCATTTGGTCGTGGCACACTCTTCGTCGTGGAACAATGGAACCTCGAAAATCGCTCGATGGGGTGTGCTATCTTACGTATGTAACCTACGGTACAAGTACTACTAACCCGCGAGCCCCTGCTTCTGCTGTTGCGGAAACGCGCTCACGGGTGCTGTTCGGAAAACAATCGCTTGAAGCAGCCATGCATGACTCTCGGAAACCCACAGAAATCGCCTGCAGCAAAACCATCTCACCTGCAACCCTGGAGGGCTCTCGTAGTAGACGAGATCCATGTGCATACGCAGTCGCTCGTTGGTGTAGGCCAAGTTACGCGGGTTATCCTGTTGTCCCGAGGGAGGATGAGAACCTCATTAGCTTAAGAGGCGAAGCGTCGTGGCAGGGCTTGCAAATCTGGGGAGGTAGGCGCTCGACAAGTGGCTGAACCGTCGCCTGCCGCAGTTAGTTGCGACGTATGTATCGTGCGAAGAATTCCCCCCGTTTCTCTTTCTCTGCCGCCGTGGTGTGGTGCAGCCCACCTTCTACACCTACTCTGCCTTTAGCGCCACTAACCGCTGCTGGTGATTATGTTTTCGTGAATGAGTCAAAGTTGACCTTCCCAGGGTTTGCGTCTGCTGAACGGGCTGCTGAACGGGTCGCGCGCCCCTTCGTGCCCTTACCGCTGCGTGTCTCACCTGAGAGATCACGTCGAACATTTCGCCGTAGAGGGTGTGGTGGGACACGGGTGCCACGCGGCGAGCCAAGTCGAGCACCGTTCCCTCTTCGGCCCCGGCGTTCTCGAGCAGGACCACACCCACCCGGTTGATCTTTCTCAGCGTCCTGTACACCGCGCCGCCGTCCTCCATGTAGTCTCGAGCATCCACCTTGTGGGACACACACGTTGTGGGCGACAAGGAAAACGGGATCGGGATCGGGTGACAAGCACACCTTGGAGGTCAGGGTCCTGCATGCCACTCTCCCTGATGTTGCACAATGATGTACCTACAACTGCTGCGTGAGTGCTTATCGCTGTACGGTCACACAAAATCAAGAGCGAAGTTCTTGTACCTACTGCCGACAGGCACACCGCGGGGGACCGGATGGACAGATAAGCTGTATGTAGGGCGCAACGCCATAAACAGTCCTGCAGGCAGCGTTAGTGGCACACATCTGACATGCAACCGACACAAATGACGTCAAACAACAAAACGACATAACGTTGGCACTCAATAACTAACCCAAGGCAACAGCGGCAGTGATACCACACGTTGAAAGGCACGTACAGATGGCGCGCCGAACACAGGCGGTGCCACGTGATAGCACAAGCCTTACCAGACAACAAGTACAGGAACACCAAGGCAGACACCTCCCTGCGAAATAAAAACGCACAAGCTGCCGCGGCGTATGTCGCACAGGGAGGGTTAGGAACTGCCTAACGCTGAGGTTAACAGCCCTACGAACACACTATAGGGTTAACCCTGTGCACACACCTTACTATTAGCGTTTGGAATCGCGCACCATGAAACACCCACCTTAGGGATCGCGTCCCAAGCGCGGAGGGGGGCCGGCCGGCTCCCGTGGCTGCGCTCGTGCAGCGCCGAGGGGGAGTTGTCGTGCTCTCGCAGCCAGGCCGTCCCGTAGCAGCTTAGGTGCCCGTCCGACCAGGTGATGCTCACTCGGGAATCGCCGGCCGATGTCTGCCGCAAACGAGGGCACCCGAGCGGAAACCGAAAAATAGTACACTTTCGGGTTAGGGTTTTGAGGGTCTCGGTAGCCTTCGAGAGGATACTTATTTTGGTTTGAGAAGGGGGTATACGGGTGGAGTTAGGGTTGGATAGCGATACGAAACCTCCCACTCGATGTCATAGATTGATTAGAATATCAGGCGATCCGTTTTAAGGGTTAGGATGCCGAGGAAGGCTGTAGACATAGGGGCGGCCGCGCATGTTCATCACGGACGGGTGGCGGTGTTATGCTCGTGGCGCAATGCGTGCGTACACGCGGATACGTGTGCATCGGTTCTAGCTGACCGGCCATCCATGCCGTGTCTACCATCCGAGGCCTCCAGGGACCGCCTGACCTTGTTAATAGTAGTAACGTTCGGGGTCGCCTTCCTCATACCCCCAAAACATCTTGTTAGAGACGAAAACTTTGTCAGGTGGTGTTGCCATAAGGCACGGGGGAATGTAGAAAAACGCTGTACTGGTATGAGATCTACCGCGGCAAAAACGCAAGACTTAACGCGTTCAGGTGCCACAAATGAAGAATGGCGTGGGCGTCTGCCGGGACTGAAGTATCAATTTGTTTGCCTCGCTCGTTTCCCCTGTGTCGCGAGTGCTGCTCTGTATCATCAGACTGTTGTACGTGGTTGTAGGTTGCGGCATGCGGTTTTCTGCGTATGTTTGGTTGATGTGGACACCGTCCACCGGCATACCATCTGCATTCGTGCTTGAGGTAGAGCAGTGAATAGTCAAATTGCTGTCCTAGAGTCTGACACATGTCCTGTAACGCTGTCAACACTCTCTGAAAACAATGACATGCAGAGCCGACGATGGAAAGAAAGGTTAGGTTTGACTCCCAAGCCTCTGGATAACGTGATTGTGGTTGTTGTAGTTGCTGTTGCTGTTGTTGTTGTAGTAGTAGTAGCAGTAGTAGTAGTAGTAGCAGTAGTAGTAGTAGTAGTAGTAGTAGTAGTAGTAGTAGTAGTAGTAGTAGTAGTAGTAGTAGTAGTAGTAGTAGTAGTAGTAGTAGTAGTTGTTGTTGTTGTAGTAGTAGTAGTTGTTGTTGTTAGTTGTGTTCACCCAAACAACCGTTCTGGTGTCTGCTCAGTACCTTGCAACATTTTGCGGAATCAACTAGATAACGCGGGCGCCTTTCGTGGTCACATGCCAACTACGTACACCCAATTGCACCCCCGGAAGTGAACAAATCGAGTGAAATAAACATAAGCAGCACTGCTGTGTGTGCCGCACCCTCCTTACCATCACGTGCGAACTACTTGCTTTCATCTGTGCAGGGACCGCTCGCAGTCGTATGAATCATAAAAAACAAACAAACGGAAAGCCATCACAAACATCGTTGGCACACGATGTATCTCTTGAGACTATATCTCGACCGCATAATTATGCGACGTTTCCATCCAATCTGTGCGAGGACAGCAGGGTTGATACGAAGTGTATCATGGATGACCTTAACCTGGTTGTACTTCTACTTCGTAATTAGGCACCATGGAACACGACCAATATTAAAGTCTTTGACCAAGTGGCTCGCACTATTGCTGTCCTGGATCTCGTGTCTCAAAAGTCGCTGAACTTCGCTGTTTTGTTGAGTGTTAGGTGATGTTAGGGGCAGAGATGATTGCCGACAGGCGTGTCGAAGTCGCAGTCCAATCTCGCAGTCAAGCTCGACCAATTAGGTTGACACTTTGTAATGAGCCGCGGAGCGAGCGAAGCGAGCGACCTTTTTTCCCTTCATCCCCAGGAGGGAAGAAAAGGCTATAAATGTCGGCCTGAGTTCCGCCGCGTGTTGCAGGGGCCCGAAGTTTGATTTCCGTGACGCATAGTTATCGCACCTTTCGGATCAGAACGAGACCGATAGGGCACCATTTGACGATCTGTTCACTTCTGAGCAGGAAGAAAAGTTACGCGCTCTTCGTCACGCCGGTTTTGTCGTGCTTTGGCTACAGATGGCCGTCCTTCACAGGCAGATGTGGCCCAATTTCGTAGGAGATCGCGTCCCAGAATGCCCAGGAGTTGTGGAGAGGTAAGATGCCCGAGCTATCGGAGATTGCACACACACACAGAACACGCGGTAGAGTTCAAACCCCGGCAGGGCAACACCATCAGCAGGAGGAGAACAACAGGACGCTGATCCGAGACCAGTTATCTATGAAAACCACGAGGGGCCGGGCCTGTACCACCTGTGCGCCGTGGGTAAAGTCATGCGTCGTGTGTAACCTGGCGGGTATTGTTGATGTTGAGTGGTGCAAAACCGACTGCTCCCAAAACAACAGCAGACCGATCATCACACACGAGCAACACACCCAACATAACACACCTTCCCAAGCCCAGAGATCGTACCTACCATCGAGAGAAGCCGAAGAGGCGTGAGGGGCTACTACTGCTGCTGCTGTGCGCTACCAGGATGGTTCCCCGCGGGATCGGTTCAGGTTGCGTAACTTGCGCCGCGCTACTGACTGTCTTCGAAAAATCCGTGCCCTGCCTGCTGTTGCTGCCCGCATCAAAGTCATGCCCATCAACAGCATTGTTGCTATTAGTGCTGCGTACGTATGTAGTAATGTCCCGTGATGTACGATACAATATGTAGACTGCTTGCTTTCACCTGACGAACGTGGCGGGCAAGTTGTGAGCCTGACGCAATGTTTGCCATCTGTTTTGTCACAGTTCCTATGTCTACGCTGCTGGTCGTGCTCCTCGACGGTGTGATGTGTGATGCGCTCGCCGCCAGGTGCATGCCGCATGCGTGCCTCCCTGATGTGCGTCTTTGCGTCCGCACAGCGCGATGATTTCAAACTTTGTTTCTTCGTGGGTGTGTGCATGTGCATCAACGGAAAAGAAACAACCGCATGTAAAGTGCAATTTTTGAACGGGGCCGCACATACGACTATCGTCGCGCCCGTCGCACCCCTGTAGCCTGTCCCTCTGATGCATGCGTAGCTGCGCCACAAGCGAGTCACGCTGCTGTGCGTCGGGATTCGTGCACCATCAGCATCGCAGATAAGACTACTGCAAGGTATTGAGTCGCTACCCAGCGGCTCATTACCCCGCCCTATCTAGTACCTACACCAAAATTGATATACTGCACAGTTTCGGACTGGGGCTCCAAATTTCCCGATTTAAGGGTAGGTTTTGAGATAAGAAAGTTTCCTGGAAACTTCGTGCAGGTGAAATTTTTCAGATTTAAGCAGCTTCATGCGATTGGCTGTGGGTCAACAGTCCTCCCACGAACTTCCCCTGTCGGCAGGTGCTGTTGTTTTTTCGGTGCGCTGCGTGACAGCTAGCTGTACACCTTGGTGACAAGGGGCTCTCACTGCTGCTGCTGTTGAGTGTGCGTGCATGCGTGCGCGTGTCCGTGTCTGCGTCGCTCCCTCAACCCCAGCACACGGAATCGCACCACAGCAGTGCGGTGACAGGAAGTGATTACTGCACACTGGCCGACAGCCTCTGAACGAGGAGCTATGTCGCGTTTCAAGCGTTCGGGAGAGAGACGGGGGGCTTGGGACCGGGAGGCACATCCTAGTCAAACGCTCTTTCTAGTAGAAACCAGAGAAAATCGGCTTCTTGCGCGCGGAAGGACGCGCCCGCCTTCACCAGGAGGCCACTACGCGATCTTCCTCCTGTCTGCCCTTCTTCTGTGCTGGCGGTGTTGCCGCCACCTCTACATTCGTGCGCTCTTCCTCCCCCTTGCCTCAATCTGACGGGCGTGTTGCTGACCTCAAGCCAGCCGCAAGGAAACCCAACTTTCTAACCGTGCAGCCTCCCTGTTTTTGTGTTGGTGGCGCGCCAACTCCAAGGCCTTTCGCTGGGCGCTGGCCTTCTCTTTGGCCGCGATGACATGTTCGCAGCAAACTGCTGTGTGTGCGTGCGGTGGTGCGAGTGATGATGTGTTACTTCGAAGAAAGTTGCTAAATCGAAGAATCGTGAGATTTTTTCCACAAACCGAGCCTCCCTCGGCTCGTAAATCTGTATTTTTTTCCTTGTTGTGGGTTCTGGCGAGACTGTCAGGAGCGATCCTCAGAACGACGGCTTAACACAAATAGTATGTTTTCGTAATTCGGAGTTTTTTTGAGTCCGAAACTGTTTATCACTACTGTTACAAAAAAATAAACGGCGTAGTCTATGAATGCCACGCATTAGTTTTTTTTTTTGTCTCCCATCATTGGGCTCTGTCTTCTACCCCTCTGGCCCTTATCCTCCACTTCTACCAGCTAGACGACCCAACCGGGGCCACATAAGAGGTGGGGGTTGGACCCCTCCTGCGGTTCCTGCCTGAGATATTTCTATCGCGAGAAGGGTACAGCAATCCCTTCCCTCGCGACTTATGAAGTCGATCAAGTTTACTAACAACGAGCTTTGCAGCGCGTCGCTTCCANATTAGTTTTTTTTTTTGTCTCCCATCATTGGGCTCTGTCTTCTACCCCTCTGGCCCTTATCCTCCACTTCTACCAGCTAGACGACCCAACCGGGGCCACATAAGAGGTGGGGGTTGGACCCCTCCTGCGGTTCCTGCCTGAGATATTTCTATCGCGAGAAGGGTACAGCAATCCCTTCCCTCGCGACTTATGAAGTCGATCAAGTTTACTAACAACGAGCTTTGCAGCGCTACGCTTTCAACGGAGGCCTTAGGGTTTAATCAACGAGAAAAAACTCACTCTGTCGGGACTCGAACCCATGACCTGGCCCTTAGCAGGCTACGAGGCTACCCACTAGGCCATCGGGGCGACCGGGGTTGGTGGTTTGCTCGAGAGTTGCCCTGCGGATGAAAATACACAAAAAAATTTCTTACCTCCACTGGCTTTAATCCTGGATCCACATCTCCCGGAAACAAGGTTCTCTGACCGCTCTCGTGCAAGAAGGACGGGCAGTTCACTCGCAGCCAAGTATAGTCGAAGTACGAGTTGTGCCCGTCATCCCATAGCACTTCCACCTGCCGTTCGCTTGGGAGGACCTCAGTTGAAGAAACCTTGGGGTCGTTGTTCCGCGTGCTGATCGCAGAAGTTGGCTGGCCCGCAGAAGCCGTAGCGGCGGTACCGAAGCGAACCGCGGGTGGACGCAGCTGCTGCAGGCGTGCAGGAGGTAGTCGCTGTGTTCCAGGGGCAGCAGCAGCAGCAGCGGTGGAGGATGCGGTGGTTCTCAAGAACGCCGCGGCCCTTGACCAAGAGTAGTGCCGCGTACCCCGCAAGACATGAGTCATTTTCGGTTTGGCAGCAGGGAAACCTGTAGTCAACTTGCACTTCCCTGATACGTTGAACGGACAGCAGAGACGATTGAAAAAGATTCGGAGCACGTAGTGCAGGCTGGCTCTTCGTGCTTCGCCGCTGTGCGTTGTGTGGCGCAGCAACAACGGAGAGATCGATGAAAAAGAAGGTTTTCGAGGCGTGTTTCTGTGTGTAACTGATTTTTCTATTTTTTTCTTGCGGCGAGATTTGGTTTCGTCGGGCCGAATAGACCCGAGAGGGCGAGACCGGCAGACAGCACCACCACAGGACACAGCACAGAGTGTTCACGCAATGTGGTGCCTACCCTCTGTCGTTGGTGTGGGGTGGCCGACGATAAATCTCTCCTAGCATAGCTAAGCCGAGATACAATGCCAGACCTAGGCTTCAACTGCAGAACGGAGAGAGACAAATGGCGGGCAGGAGGCATCGTTTACAGTAAGAGAGCGTCCTTCGACAACTGGTGTGGTATGCATACTTCGAAGTGTGCCAGCCAAACACTAACCGATTCAATATGATTAGGTCGATCGGTAACACGTCTGTACTCATGCACTCTATCGGAGTTGGCTTTTGTCCGTGTAGTGTGGCCCACACCATCCGGTTGGCATGCGGAAAGCTTGTTCTGCACCGCGTCGTCTTCCCACCTACAAGCATCACCTCCTTTCTTCCATGCATGGGCGGTTGAGCCCCAAGGGCTGAAACAGCTTCTTGCCACCAGCATCACATGCGATGTTTTGTTGTTGACGCAGAGTACTTTTAATTGTAAATGCCTCCCTCGCTTTTAAGAGACTATGTACTGTTGTATGTACTTGTTCTAACCCCCGTAGCAGAGACCAACATTCCACAGCCGTATTTGCCGTCTCAACAAAAAAAAAATCCTATTGGTACAGAGTAGATCCACACGGTCACACTGATGTACGTTGTTGTTTTTACCACTGGAGAATACAATAACATTTCCTTCATCACGTTTTCATTCCATACTGTATAGGTTCGATCCGAGCACGGGCATGTGTAATCGCATATGTAGACTAGAACACATCATTGTGTCCGTTGCGCACGGTGAAGCAAGTGAGTATGTCGACCCGGTTCTCCCGGTCCCGACCGGCATTGGCGTATTGCCTGTGGCAAATACGTACAATACCGCGGCAGAGACCGGTGCCAGCAAGAATCTTGGCTCCTACGCGTAACGTGCGGCAGCTGGACTTCACAAGACCGCGACATCACCAAGTTGTACATACAAGGCCGCGTACCCTTTCTGTAGAAAACGCAAGGGCCGTGCTGACCCTTCCACCGCTCGGTCCACACTCCCTAGCCTTTCTTCTATTGTTCTTGGGTGGGGAAGCGGGCATTTGTCGTAGCTCGGACAACAGTGCGGCGTATCCTCAGAGACCTTTGTACAAACGCCACTACACCGAGAGGTCTTACACACCCCATCCACCTGCCCGGTACACACCAACGCAGCAAGCGTTCCTCCGTCCCCGCTCCGGAGATACAGCATTGACCCCATCTTCGTTATTGGGGAAGCTTCATTCCTCTTCGGGTCCGATCGCAAACGTCATATCTCCATCAGCAAGCTTACATTCTCTATGACTTTTACCCAAGGGTGGGGGAAAAATATTCCAGAGCTATCGGCTGGGGTCCTTCCCTCCAAACATCGAACGGGAGCAATTCCCTCCACCGCACTTCACCTGTAACACCAAACCCAACCCTATCGTCGATGTCCCGGATCGGTGCGCTTCCCAAAACCACAGCTGCCCCGCTGCAGGTGGACGTAGGACCCGGATCTTACGACATCGCGGCAGGATGCCCGCCGACGGAGGGTCGACCCGGCTACGCCCCTTTCCTCAGCACGGCCGAGAGAAAGCTCGGCCCGGACACCGCCGCTGCCGACCTCCCAGGCCCCGGGTACTACTCCTCCGAACCTGTTCAGCACAACAGCGGCCTGTCCGGGCGACCCAGTGATGTCTTTCGATCGGGCACGAGCCGTTTTCGGCCCTCCAACGGGGGCCAGGGCACCAACGACACCCCCGGCCCTGGCACGTACCTCGGCCACGGGGAGTTCGGAACCAGGGACCAGGGCATGAGCGGCAACTTTAAGGGGGATAGCGACAAGATCAAGTGGGTGCGGATGCCGACGGCGCCGTCCATCCCCGGCCGGGAGCAGAGCTACGGGTACGAGGAGGGCGATCAGGGGGAGCTCGTCTTGCAGCGGCCCGTGGAGCTCGGGCACAGCGGGCGCGGGGACGATCGACCGGGGCCGGTCGACTACCAGCCCAGGGTCGAGTACACCCGCCGCTGCCCGGCGGCCATCGACTTCTCGAAGGGCGAGGACCGACTGGTGGCCCTCAGCAAGGCGAGGGCATCCACCACCCCGGGGCCCGGCCACTACAACGCCGCCAGGGGGATCGGGGACCCCGACGACGGCCTCGACATCGGCAGGGCCTTCCACCGCAAGCGGTATCGGCCCACGGCCTCCTTCCACTACGGGACGAAGCGAGATAGACAGCGCAAGGCGCGGGACAACACTGCCCCGGGACCGGGGGACTACAAGATCCCGAGCGGGCTGGACGTCCGGCGAGACCCTGGCCGCCGAGACTTGTCCTTCTTGTCGACCTCTCGTCGGTTCGACGAGCCGGCCACCGGCGCCGGGAGCCGGGCCCCCGGGCCGGGGTCCTACGTGACCGCGCCCAGCGACTTCGACCGCTGCCGGGCGAAGGACAATCGGGTTCGCCCGCGGCGCGCCTCCTTCACGGCGCCGGTGGGCTTTCAGTCCACCACCCTGCGTTTCGCTGGCGACGGGAGGAGGGGTGGCAGCGAGATCGGGCCGGCGAGCTACAGCCTTGGTGGGATGGCTGAAGAGATCAGCCGCAAGGGCTCCGGAACCAGAAGAAACGTGGGGGCCTTTGGGTCGACGGCGAAGAGATTTCCGGTAGAGGGGGGCGGTCAGCCCCACTTGCCCGGGCCGGGGGCGTACGAACTCGGCGTTGCTGGGGGAGTTGATAGGGAGGAGGGGAAAAATACGCGGCACTCGGTTCCGGTCGGTCCGAGCGGAAAACGGTTCCCGAGTGCCTTGTCAGCGTTTGCATCAGGTGGGCATAACGTTTGCATTGGCTTCGTCTTGCTCTTGATGTTGATCGGGTCGTGAGTGGGCGCAAGCTATTCTCTGCTGGACTTGAGTGCGCATTGGCGAGAGGGAAGCATCTAGACGTGCCGCTCTCTCAGATTCGGAATCGGCTGAACTCGAGTGCTACGGGAGATCGAACGAGCGAGATGTGCAAACGTTAACGTTGTCGTTCCCTTCTCCAGACCCGATTCTCACTCGCAATCGAGCTCGTCATCAAGTTCTGAACAACAAGCACTAATATTACGACCACCTCGAGCCTGATATTATGCTGATTGACGGACAAGTTTGCCGCATGATGCTTCAACATTTTCGGGCGCGTTCAATCCTCGCACGAAGTACTTCACGTCCACCGATCAACGCATGCATGTCGACGAACCAACCGAACGCGATAGCTACCAAGAGGTTTGCCCCGCCGTCTTCTACAAACCCTGGTCCGGCACCGGGCCAGTACGAAGTCAGACCACTCGACAAGCCTAGAGGGGTTTTGCCACTCGGAAAGCAGTCGAAGAACCGCTTTGAGGTATGTGGTACGTAAAGCAGTTGCACATGCCTTGCTATCGGCATGCTGCCAAATCGGTATGACAATTTTCCGTCTGGATATGCCCCGCCCTCACTACACATGTACGGCACTCACGAGAATTTTCTGCAGTCCTCGAAAGAGTTGTAGCTGTGTACCAAGTGACGTAGCAACATCCTCCGACGCTACACGCAAAAGAAGGACGGAAAGTACGTTTTATGCCTTGGGGAAGCAGATATTTACAGGCGGCAAGTCCCACACGACTGCAACCACGCGCCGTCCAACTACCTGCAGCCTAACTTCAGAGCACAGTCGACGCGTTCGCCAACGTACTCTCCCGCCGTCCGATGACATCACGGCAACGATCGTCCGTCGTACAGAGTGCAAAGAACGCTGTGCGGCCGGGGCTTGGACCGGGGAGCTACGACGTGAGGGACGTGGTGCAGCTCGGAAGGGCCCGCTCGCGGAAGAACATTATGGTCAGCTCGCAGGCTCGATTCACGGATCCGAGCGCGCCGAGTTCGAACAACCCCGGTCCAGGGTACTACGACACGGGGATGGTGTACGGGAATCTGTTGAAGCAGGTGGGTGCCTACATGGTAACAGTCTAAGACTGCTGCACAGGACTGACTCCGCTCTCCTTGTGTCATTTCGTGCGGAACCACAACCTTGAGGTCGATTGTGCAGGTCTCGGTGTTGTTTGTTGCCAAGTGTGCTCTGGACGTTCACACGAAGGGTCCTGGCACAATTGTTGGCGAATCACACGTACGTACGTGGTTGCATCACCCTCTCTGGTGGTGAACTCATACTTGTTGTTGCTGTCTTCACATCAAAAACCTTTCCGATCTCTCGACCCAGTACCTTGTTCTGTCCGCACTACTCTAACTACTTGGCGCGGTCGATCCCGTCGTCACAAGCTAACTTACCCAAAGAGGAATACCCAAAACAAATGGACCCGAAGGGTCCGCAAGTCAACAGAAATCAACGACGGATAGTCAAAATCCCTTAGCTCGTCTCTACGCGCTATGTGAGGAAACCATAGACTGGAAAAAAAGAAAGAAAAAAGAAGAAGAAAAAACACGGAGAAAAAACTCTTCCATGATTCCTAAACACGACGACGAGGACAATGCTGGTAGCGGCCGGCTGATGACAACTGTTGACCCCCCCCCTGCGTATCGTTTCGCGCAGACGTACAACATCGCCATCGCAGAGGCGAGTGCCGACATTTGCTGAGAGCCATCTTTCGGCGAGGGACGGTTGAGACTATGCTTTTTCGGCTGGAAAAAGAAGCTGGCCTTCCAAACGGCCCCCAAAGTCAGGGACAGGGACGTCCAGACAAGAGAGTTGGAAACGAAAGGCGCCACTCGTGTATGATCCTGGAACGGTGCTGTGGGCGGCGAGTACTGTGCGTTTCCGCACAGCGATAGTCGTTTATATGGAGATCATACCTCGCTCGTTTAACGTAATGCTCGATTCCTCCGTTCGGGACTGCCGTCCATGAATAGCACAAGATTTTTATAGCAGTTGTCACCCTTGACCAGAGAACATACCCTCAGGATGAACCGATGAAGAACGCCGAAGCCTCTGAGGCAACACGCTGCGGCGAAACTCTGCAATGCGCACACGTGAACCTAGAGGCGACGTTCTTCCGTGAACATATACAGCAGTCTCGAATGCACAAAAGTTCGCTCCGCGACTACCAGCAGCACAACCCCCGGGGTTACAGCAAGGAGCAAGCGCATGCGCACGCACTACCCTCAAACGGTCAGCAACCCGCACCGTATGCGGACGGCTATGCGCACGGCCGGCTATGCGTATGGCAGAGGCGCAATCCGCTTGTTTCTAGCCCACCCCAGCTGCCGAAACTGTCGCGAACCGAAACACACGTAAACAACGCACACGTCGACAGAGTGAACAATAGACCCGCAACTTTCAAGGTAGGTAGGCACCCCGCCGCCCCCGCCCGCTTATCTACCAGGGACATTTCTCGACAGGGAGAAATGGCTTGTTGCCCCCCTCCCCCCCTTGCTCCGCCACCTCTCGCTCCTCGAGGTCTCCCCCCCGCGGAGGAAAGTCCACCCCTCCTTTCGCACAATTTGCACTCTCCTGTAGTGATAACGCCGCCGGCTTTGCACCACCACCACCGCCACCACATTGATGGTGCTCTTGTTGCTGGGTTGGTTCTTCTGTAACGGTAGCGGTAGCACCGCGTTTCCCGGAAGAAGCTTCCGACGACTCCTCCCGGGAAAACGCCCCCGTTGCCCCAGTCTCATCGCCTGCGGCCTTCTTGGCGGTGTTGTTTCAGTCGGTCGGTAAAACCGCCTTCTGGTGGTCGTTGTTGTTGTCGCTGTCTCTGTCTCGGCTGCTGCTTCTTTTCAAGGAGCTTGAAGAGGTCCGGGTGGGCGTCGGCGGTAGGGCCTCCTTCGGCGACAACCTCTCTGGCACGCGGGGGGCGTCCACATAAAAAAAAAGGCAGACATATCAAAATAAGGGCGCGACATCGCGGGGTTGCGGGGGTATAGTGCGGCGGAACTCATGGCCGGGAACAGCAAACTCTGAGGCCAGGATACGGAGGCGGAGCATCATCTCTCCCCGATTCAAAAAAACACAACCACCGTCGGAAAACGTAAAAAGACATTCTGCTCACCTGATCTCCCGGTGGCTCAAGCACTCGAACCGAGAATGGTACTCCTGCTGAGCGAGTCGAAACAGGCTCCTTGCCAACTCCGCCTGAAGGTGTGACAAGACGTGAAAATGGTGCCGGAGGAAAAAATATGCGCCCTAGACATTCAGACCTGGCTGAGCATTTGTTCAATGGGAATTTACTTCCAGACAAGCAAGACTGATGGAAAGATAGTCACTTACCTAGGAAAAGGCCCATGGAATGCATATGAGGGGCAACCAGAAACGCCCAAAGCAGCGACCTAACGATAAAACTGGAATGTGATCAATCTACGTTTCAAGCGGATTGTCCGAGAGGGCTCCGGTGTAGTCCACAAATTCCAGCCTCACTTAGAATGAATTCTGCACCCAACCAACCACCCTCTGCGGCCGTTGGTTATTTATTCCCTGTAACTGAGGTAGACATAGTAGTATGCGGCGGCCGGCTTGAAAAAGGTGGAGTTTTAACATACGTGGCCCTCACCTTCTGTATCGCGCGCGAGCGCCTCGCATGCCAACTGGTCGAGCCCTAAACAAAACGTGGTATGGCTATGAATACTGCTGACGGTCGAAACTCAATCCGCTTAATAGCGGGCGGTGCACCGATCTGACACCTCTAGTGTGACCGCCAGCACCAAAGCGTGGCAGCAACGCCCGTCAAGCAGCCCGTCAGCAGAAAAAAACGAAAAGTCTGTCGCTGCCGTTAATGTTGCGCTACCACCACCACCACGATCTCGCGGCAGCACTCCCAACCGTCCCAGCAATTCTCATCATCACCTTTTCCGGAGAAAGCTCGAGCTCAACGGCCCCTGCCCTTCCCCCGAGCCGGCAAGCGAGGGCCAAGAATCTCCCCTCCCCCACCCCGTGGCTGGCGCTCGTGACCCCGCCGGCCTTCTCGGCCTGGCCGTGCAGACCCGCGCGGTCCCGCTTCGAGAGCTCCGCGCCGAACACAAGCACGGCCACCAGGACCGTCGACGCTTCTCCTCCTCCTCCTTCTGCTCGGCGGAGATGGTCGTCGTCCTCCGGCTGCTGCGGCAGCGATACGCTGGCGCCGACTGCCGCCGCCGCCGCCCCATCTGCTCCACCATCGCCACCGCCTTCTGGTGCCCTTCTCTCGTGCTCGGGATTGCTGTCGAGTTCCCTCGGTCCTCCTCCTCCCCCTCCTCCTCCTTCCCCTCCTGTTGGGCTCTTCGCCGCTGCGGGCGCGCGAGGCGGCTCTACCTCCGCGCGCGCAGAGGGTCCCCGCGAATCTTCTGCAGGCTGCGGGGCGCCTTCCCTCCCCCCTCCCGGGACTGCCTGGTCCCCGACCCTCCCTTTCAAGAAGTCGACGATCGCGGCCTGGCCTTCGTCATGCGAGACGTCGCTCGGCCGCAGTCGGAGCTCGAGTCCGACCCAAGCACCGTCTTCTCCGATAGGCTTTTCTTCTTCTTCCTTCTTCGTGGTGGTTGCCCGGTCCTCGCTCTCGGAGCTCTCTCTCGCGAGCCGGCTGCTCCGCTGGAACAGCCGTAGCCTGGTCCACCAATCATCGTCGCTCATCCCGATGTCGCGACTCCCCGGTTCTTGCCGCGGGTCGTCGTTGCCGCTCTCGTTGCTACCACCCGTCCTGTCGGCACCGCTTCTAGACTTGTCGCGACCGCTCGCTACGTCAGCAGCAGCGGCAGCAGCAGCAGTAGGGTCCGGGGTAGCCTCAGCAGCGGCGGCATCGCCAAGACCACCGGGTTGTCGTGGAGAGAGCTGACGGAAGCTCTCGCACTCGAGGTGTTCTTGGGCCGCTAGCGCGGCGGAGCGGAGCGGCAAGCTGAGCACCGCGACGCGGCGGCGATCCGTTTCGAAAGCGCCGCTTCCACCTGTCTCCTCTTCTTGTCCTTGCCCCCCTCCAACCCTCCTCGTCTCAGCGGATCCGGACGCTGCCGTCAGCAGGAAGAGTGCTGCGCTCAGGAATCGCGGTGTGCTGCGCCTGCCCTCGCCTGCGTCGATTTCGCCCAGTGATCGGGTGTGGCCTGCTGCTGGGTGGCCGCCGTCACCACCACCCGTGGGGGTTCGGAACGCTGGCGGAACGTAGCGGGTAGCCCCTCCGGATGTCGAGCTAAATCCTGGGAGAAACCAGAGCGCACATGTACGTTGTGCCGCGGCTTCAGGGTGTTTCTGGTATGTGCTCCTCTGTTGTTGTCAAAGGCCCATGAACGAAAGCCGTGCTGTAACTTTAGGCGCTGCATCTCGAGAACGCCAGCTGTACGTTCTATCCATTCAGTCTATTACGCAAGCAACCCGAGCGGCTCAGCTTGGTGTACACAAAAGTACGGGATTATTGGCCGAAAGAGTTGCGGGCTGTGGTGACGGTTCGACGGGAGGATTCGACTGCTGTAGTTTCGAATCAATCCGTAGTTCTTGATGATGAAGGCGGTCTGGAATTTTAAGGAACAGGGGAAAAAGAGTACACGAAAGTCCGAAAGTTTTGGAGAACGTCTGGAGAGAATCTAGCCAAGCGGCAGCAACAAGAGAGAGAGATATAGTCTAGTCTAGACTAGGCCTCGTAAATAGCAGCAAATGGCGCAAGCGCAGAGCAGGAGCATCGTTTCGGACCGGATCGATTTTGCTGTTTCCGCGTACGGGGCGCCTGAAGCAGGTGGTCTCCCTCTACGGTGCCATCGCAACGCTGTTGTTTTCCTTGTCCTCTAAAACATGGCGATGTGCACAAAACAGCAGTGGCATCCTATTGCCGTGCAAGCTGTTCTCGGCACACGTGCACCTCGAGTCATGCTACAATGTAATCTCCTTTGCGTCACGCTTCCCGCACCTGCCCGAATTTTGCGCGCCTTTCTCCATGTACCGTCTGGTCTCTGACTAGCTGGGATCATGGCAGCCAACTCGCGCCTCTCTTATCGCACACTAACTACCACGTGCACCCACACATCTCCCTCAGCCGACGACGTAGCGCGGTCGAGACGAAGCTGCACCTGCGGCACATCTCCGCATTCCGCCCTCCTTTGGGATAAACAGGTCTAAGCGCCAAGATTGGCTAACGTTGAACAGTCCAGTCATCGCCTTCGCGCCCGTCGTCCAATCCAGTCGCCCTGCCCACCGCCCTCGGACCCTCCTTTGCCCCGACCACGACCGACGCGTTGAATTTCGCACGGTGGATGGAGGAAGCGCTCTCAGCAAAACCTCTTCTGTTGTTGGGCGCGGAATTCTATACCTTTTGAAATGCGGTGTGAAGAGTGTGCGTGCGGTTTTGTTGGAATGGACAAGTGTGCCTGTGGACTGGTGGATCTTTATTTCTCGTTAAATCTTTGCGAACGTCTGGGGTAGGCGATAAGCGTGCGACCACGGTATGCTCGCGCTGGTGTCTACTGTCTCTCGAAGATCCGCTCAAATGTTTACGCAGGACATTAGCATCGGTTGCACTCTCGAGACGATGCAATAATCACCTTGAAGCGCTTGACATTACACCCTGGACAATATACAGCAGTACAGCAGTCGAAGCATATCGACACGTTCCTATCGTAATACGTCACGTACTAAACAGTGGCTGTATTACCGTAGCATTTTTTTCGAAACATTTTGCAACAACCAACCGGTATTGCTCCACATGTTGGAAAGTGCTGCACGGGTAAACATGATGCAATATACAGGCGGAAAAGCATTCGGTTCTCACGATTATGTATCGATGAGATGTTCAATGATGTGTTGCTCTTTGCAATGCATATCGTTACAAACAACAAGTAAGTTGTTGTGTACTGCTCTCCCGATGATTTATATGAATGTATTGTATCTGGTACACAGGACCATCTGTGGGTATGACCCGGTACGTACCCACTGTCGCTCCCCCAAAGTGTACTGATTTTAGTATAGGGCCATTATTATGCAGGATTTACAACGGGATGCATAATATATTGCATTAAGAGTGGTGGTGGCCATGTGCGGGGCTGTACCGTTTCCCCTATTGATTGCCCTGACCATCCTTCTTGTCGATTATAAACTAAACTAAACGTACGTGTAGGGGACGAGGAATGGTGGCCAGGTAGTGCGGGCCGAGGGTGTGGCCCTTACACCCTGGACAATAGTTGGGCTAATCGAATATTGGTCTAACAATATAGTTGAAATTTCGATGGTCGACACATATTTCAGTAAACCAGATGATGGTTCCGGGTGCATCGATATGTATTGTGAGCAACGATAGATTGAAACAAATGACGCAACACATTTTTGCTCCCGCGATAGGATAGCTACAAGTCTTCGATGTGTATCGCTTCGACCAGCACGCTTTCAGTTGTTCGTCGATGGATATTGCCATGTACGGTATGTTTTTACCGAATCCGATTAAAACATCTTGGAGCAACAATACATTGATGATCGTAGCGATCAATATCTATCTATCGTTCAAACACTGCTGCTGTTGATACAATTCGTACGCTGTAACTATTTTCAACGCGAAACAGTTCATGCCCCCAAAACTTTTTCGCGCTCCGCGCACAATCAATTTTATGCATGAGCAGAGTTACTGTTAACGCCATGGGGGACAAACCAAAACAAACGAATGGGCGCATCGATTGCGTGGCACGCATATTTATATCGATCAATACTTTCCGTCTGCATTGAGCCATGCGATATCAATTGATGATACCATTTCCACAAACACATTGCTTGAACCAATACATGTTGATCGAATTCCTCCTGATACATTGAACCAAACGATGTCAATTGATACCAATTGTATACACATAATATCTTGGGAGCACAATGTAGTGGAAGATATTCTCCCATTGTATTGAACCCATGAAAACATGTCGATTCCAATTTCTAGTATTGATTGGAGCAAAATGCATTTAATATCATATGTCCAGGGTGTGCTAGACATACGTTTCACACGGACATTTTAAGTACACAGGTACGTTGAAACGTGTTGGAAACCGCTTCCCCCTTGGGAGGAACGAGAATCCTTGTACGATATTGTGCACTGCACAAAAGGTGGCGAGACTCGCAGCCTTTTATTTAGAGGCTCCGTTCCTGGTATCAAACCTAGACGAATGGGAGATCAATTCGTACATTCGTACAGGAGACGCCACGATATAATAGGGGTTCGATGTTCGTGAACCAACAGCAAGCAGAACTGCAAATGGAAGAACGCGTTCCCCGTTGGCTTCCCCAGTGAAGCTAAGTAGTTCGAAATAAGGTTTCTTGAGTGCTGGCGAGTTTTGGAGCAGGACAAGTACTACAGCACTAATTTATTTTCCCGGCGATATATGTGTCCTTCAATCAGGCCGGGCGACGGGCGCTTCGTCAGAGGCACTGTTCGCTGCTGCTTCTGCTGCTCGCCAACGTGGCTTTGGGGCTAGAGCGCAACAGGCAACAGAGAGCTACGAACGCCCTACGCTTGCTGTGAGCAAATTGCCCGCACGATGAGCAACAACGAGGGAAGGGTGCGGCCGCCTGTACGTCGCTACAAATCTTGCTTAGGACACCCACAAACTCAAGCCAGCTTTCTTCGTTCGCTTCGTTCGCTTCAAATTCTTTAGGCTCTGTGAAGCACAAATCCAAGCTCTTCCAACTGTTAGTCAACTCGGACACCATTAGCAGTCCACCTACAAACCCGCTCGGTCATGCACCTGCCCCCTTCCCCCTCCGTCAAATCGACTCCGAACAAAATTTTCTCCTGCGGATGACTCGGGTGTATGAAATATAAATACCTGGGCCGCGAGCAACACCAATCTCCAGTCAACACGCACACAACACCATTATCCACGAACACATAAAAAGCACAACCAAACAATACATTGACACGTTCCCGGCCCTGCCCGAACTCCCCCATACCAGCGTGGTCGCCACCATTGGAGGTCCGCAGCTGGTGACAGTCCAAAAAAAGAAAAGAGATATGGCACGTCCCAAACCCCAACAAAACTACTGCAAGACAGCAGTAGCGACGATGGTGTGGAGAATCCACCGCACAAATATACTGCGAGAGCTCACCAGCACGCTACGACGGCGGCGTACGCGTATGACACACAAGCGGCTGGCAGCGATGAAGCCTGAGCACATACATGAACAAAATGGCAAAAACGTCCAACTCCGGGACTCCGCTACGGATGTCTCAGCTGCGTGGACTCGCGAAGGTGTATACACTTGAAGTTGAAACACCACATCTACGGGTCTAGAAGTAGGCGCCTTCGCTCCTCACCCCCTCACCCCCCCACACCCCATCTCCGCCGCGTCGTGGTACAGTCCAAAGGTAGCCTGTTCTACTCTTTTATCGCTCGCTGTGGCCCAAGATACCCCTTGGACATCCTCTCGTCCACACAACCCACGCCAACACGTCTATGCTTCGACCCGGAAAGGCCTCTGTGTTTCTCGACGCCCCCCTCCCCCGACGTACCCAACTGGTCACACTAGATGCATACCCTCGGGTTCCGTGACCCGACCACGACTTGCGTACTCGACCTCCGAATCGCAAGCATTGGGCCAAGCTTTTCGGTTTTAACTGCGTTTTGAGTGAATTTCACCACCGAGTCGACCATTCCCCCCACCTCGCCTCGCCACGCACCCCCGACACGCCTGACGACCCGACGACACAGCTTTTCTTCCACCAACAAAGCCACGCATGAGCAGCGACCGCCGTAAAACCTCCCTCGACAATCTAAGCAGCGCATGAAGAGAGCGGGGCTCTCTTTTTTCCTTCCCATCCTGAACGTCACAATCCACAACTCACCACCACTCTCCACTCACACTCAAACATGCCCTCCACCACGACCAAGCCAATCTGCCTCGTGACATTGGTACCACTTCCTGCAACCCAACCAACGCATTTGACTGATCCGAAAATCCCTCCCCCCATCCCCGAGAACCATCGCCACACTCCCACCCGCAAAGACCATTCGTGCGCGTTTGCGTCGACTGGTCTCTCAGGCAAAACCAACCGAAAAGATAACTTCGACGACTCAGATCACGGGACGAACCGTTCCACATCATGCACGACCCGCGTTCCAGATCAAAGCACGAACCGCTCCGTATCACAGCACGAACCGTTCCACCTCGCTCTCCTCCGGGATGCGGCAGGACAGGCTCTCCGTCCCGAACATGTGCCTTCTCCGGCTCACGAAGCCGTAGACGGCGTCCCGCAGGGGTTCCGGGACGGCTTTGAGGAGCGCGGCCCCCACCGGAAAGGGGAAGTCCATCCGGGCCATGATGTGGACCAGGGCGCAGGAGCGCGTGTAGAGGTGGCCATCCTTGTCGAGGATGGCGATACTGCTCAAGCGCTCCTGGTCTTGCCCGAACGAGTGCAGCAAGGAGACACCCATCTCGCTCTGTTTTTTTTTTTTCAGGTTGGACGTCGCCGGGAGGGGGGGGGCGGGGGGCGGGAGGAAATTAGCGGTCGTCGCTATTATAGGATGTTTTCGCCTGATGCAGTGGTGCGGTTTGCTGCAGACGAGCGGGCGGCTGTTGATCGAGCGACAGTACCCCAAACGAAAAGTTAACATCGTTCCGCCGACGAAGAGGCAGGCCTGCCGCTGGAAATGGTACCAGTACATCTATAGTACAAGACACGACACGACATAAGGTTGCAGCATGTGGAAGACATGCACACGATTCCAAAGCTCACACCTCCAAATCTGCATGGATTACTTTGATGATGGGGCATACAGAATAGAAAAAGCACTTGAGCTTCCACCGGGTCAAGGAAATGGGCTTATTTATCTCCGTGAACAGAGGCTGCTTGCTCGTGGGCAACTGAGTCGATATGTTGCTTGTACTGCTGTTCCCATCCACTTCAAAAAAACTAGGCCAACGTACACATCGTTCTCGAAAAACAACGCCAACCCGGTCCGCTCAAGATTCATTGAAGGTTTTTGGAGGTGAGAAAACAAAAAAACAGAGATAAGCGGCGAGACCACGATGTCTCCCGCCCCCCACGTCCGGCTATCCAGTCCTTGGCGATCCGGCACGCAAGCGACTTACACCCACTAGCAGCAGAGACGAACAGGAGCAAATAGTCTAATGGTGAAATAAAACTCTCACATTTTGTGCGCAGAAGCGGAGATTCCTCGCCTCCGAGTTGGAGATCATCATCCACACGCCCGAGTTGCAGAAGTTGCACTCCCCGTCAAATAGAACGACTGCACTCTTTGCTCCCTCGAAGACGGCGTGTTCCACACCGCCCTTGACATGTGCGTCCCCCCAGAACCAGCTATACCAAGAAAAAAAATAAGGTTTCAGCACGAGAGAGAGGAAAAACGAAGAGGGAGAAAAAGATCTTGAGCAACACACGTGACCAAGTTTTGAAGGAGCCACGTAGCGGTAGAACGAGGGAGTGAGATAGCGAGAAAAACCGGATGGTACTCAGCTGACGCTTTAGATTCATTGCCAATCAATCTCGGACGCTCTATTGATCTGTGGGCAGGATGAATTTGTTGTGTTGCAAGTAAGAGAAAAAAAATACCCTTGCGAGGAGATCTTGGGAGGGGGGACATCATCCAACTGGGTCCCTGGTGCCACACATGAAGGCGCTATGTACAATGAATGGCACAAAGCGGCTCGACCGCGATCATGCAATAGGTAGGCAGGTTAACCAACGCCATCCAGCATCACGTGCTATGCACATGTGCATGCATACACAAGTACAAGTATAGGAACATCCTGTGCTGGCAATACTGAAGGTAAGGGGGTTGATAGATACTGAGTAACTGACCCCTTGCCCATACGAAATTGAACACGGATTTCTCTGGTTGTTACACGCTCAGTACGCAATATATTAGGTCATGCAGCCCGCTGGTACATTGGTCTGTAACCCTGCCTACGTGTGACACAGATGCCGAACATTTCAATCTTTCTCGTCATTTTCGTGAAGGAGAGAGCTCTACCGCAGCGCTTGCACTAAACACCAGAGTGCAGCAGGGTCGAAAGCGTGTGTATCGCCACGCATCGTGCTTGCCATCGACGCCATGGACAACAAAAAAATCCATGGTCTTCGTGCGTGGGATGCATACAAGGGAGCAACGCTTGGCGACAGGGGGGATCGAAGGCCGAGCCCAGGCCCATGCGTCGCAAGACTCTGGCTGTGTAGAAGCACCACATGGCACTGGGGCTCACCCCACAAATACTAAAAGCTAGAGCAGGATGTTGAGCGCGTTTGTGTGCGTGCGGGTACTGCTGCTGCTGCTGCTGCCGCTGTGTCCGCCCTGGTGTGTGGTGGGGCTGGAGTGCCGACCCACACTCTGTGTTGTGCATGATGAAGTGAAAATGAAAAAAAAAGGGCAGTGGCCAAATTCGGGTACACCCGGTCCGAACGACCATAATCGGGTACCCCTACAAGACACTGATGGGCGCGACCGCATGACATCATCTGATTGGCCGACGCCCACTCCTACCCGACCTTGACCGTCTTTCCACCGGGTGCACCCGATCTTGGCTATTCACACCCCGGGGGAGAACCCGGTTGTTCTTTCCCCTACCCGAAAATGGCTGGGCTGTTCGACCAAAACCAATGCACACAATCATGGGTCGGACGCACACCACTGGCCCTCGTTTGTCGCCGATGAGAAAGTAGCGGGAGGGATGTCTATTTTTTGGGTGAGTCCCGTGTGTGTCGCATCTCGTGAGGGAGGCATTCGTCCAGCTCTTCATCATCATTTGGACAGACCGCCTGCCGTTTCTCCCAAGGGAGACTTCCACCGCCGGCGGATGGTCTGCCTCCGCCCGCCGGGCGGTCAGAACGTCCGAATTCAAGGGCAGGACGTTGCTGATGTGTACTTGCGTGCTTTGGTTTTGGTCGCCCAGCTATTTTCGGATAGGGAAAAAGAAAAACCAGGTACTCCCCCGGGGCGTGAGTAGCCAAGATCGGGTGCACCCGGTGGAAAGATGGTCAAGGTCGGGTAGGGGTAGGCATCGGCCAATCAGTTGGTGGCATGCGGTCGCTCCCAGCAGCATCTTGAAGGGGTACCCGATTATGGCCGTGTTTGGACCGGGTGTACCCGAATTCGGCCACCGCTCTAAAAAAAATGGTGCAAAACGGGCAGCTGTGCGGAAGAAAGGGAGAAATGGAATCGCCCCTCCGCGATAACTTGACCGATGCACACGAAAGGGTAGATCCCCGGCAATCTACAGCAATATCAGGTCGACCTGCACCTTTACGAGGGTCGGGGGGAAGAAAGCACGCCGCCGGAGCAGATAGAACCCACGTTGCAGCATTTCTGCTCGCGGACAGTTGGCAGACCGATACGCCGATCATCAACGACGGGGTTTGCCCTTCTTGGTGGGTGGCGTACGCATGCTTGCCGGAAGAATTTCGACCGTTTGGGGCAAATCCATGCAAAATAATCCCGATTCGGCTGACAACACCTTCCGTCGGATGTATCCCGTGCGAACATCATCCCGCCGCAAGTTCTTCTTTCACACACGAGCATGACCAAACGAGCGCAGCAGCTGGTGCTGTAAGACCAGAGGATCACGGTGGCATCAAAAACCTGAACGCACATTTTTTTCATTGCTCCCCTCACCGCCCCTTTCCCGCTTCTACAGCAGCAGAGACGTGTCAAGACATCAACCAGAACTTCACCCCTCCCCCCGCGCCATTCCCCAAAGGTGTCCTCACTTGTCAAAGTCCTCCCCGGATAAGTTCTGGTTCATGTCAGGAAGCTGGGGTGGCACGGTAGAGCTCATCATGCCGACGCCGCCACGTCGATGCCGTGCCGTGGTCGTCCTGCCCTCCCCCGAGGTGCTCCAAGAGCTAGGTCTCGGCGCTCTGCTACTCACACCCCCCGCCGTGAACCATGCCTCCGCTCCTCCCGATAGTACTGCTGTGAGCGCCACGAGCACCGCCGTCGTGTGCATGTTCATCCTCTTTAGCTCTTCTTGTCAGAAGTCTCGTCAAAAGAGGAAGGTTTTCGAAATGTGATGGGAGCTGGTGTAGTGTGAGATGTAGCGGCGAAAATTCGAATAAATATTGTGTTATTGTGTCCAGGTGGTCGGTCTGTTCAACCCCACCGTCAACTACAACGTTGTAGGTCGGCCAATGACGTTCACCTATCCGGAGGCGACAACAACAACTAACTACAATAAGAAAAAAAAACTATTTCAAGCTGTCAATAGACACTGCGCCATGTCCCCTGTGAAGGTTACATCTTACAGTACACGACACTACGGAGGGATTCTTCCCGATATTTTGTCGTTGACCCAGTAGAGAACTGCAGGGGATGTGTTGTAAAATGTAGATTTACCTATACAGATGTTTTTGTGCTTAGCACCAGCTGGCATCACTGATAAATCATCAGTGTTGTTGTTGTTGTTGACTTCACATTAAACCGTATGCCAGTTGCTAAATGCCAAAATCTAGCAAAGACTCTCGGCCCGTGGTCACGAAAGTGCTGGAGCCATCTGAGGATCTAAAGAACACGCACACGTAGCAAGAAAAAGGTGTACAAGAGCCCGAAGAGGTACTACTACACCTATATATAATCCCTGCAGCACCGTACGCGTGCCCAAAACTGAACTACACGTCCGTCTCACCGT